TTTTGTTTATTGAAAGGTTTTGATTATTGATTCAATTTGTTCAGTCTGTTAAGGTTTTCTATTTCTTCATGATTCAATTTTGGAAGGTTGTACTTTTCTAAGAATTTATCTATTCTACTATGGTGTCAATTTTTTTATGTATAACTAGAGGCCCGATACATGAAAATTTGTGCAAGAGTAGGCCTTCCTCCCCCTGGCTGCCGGCGCCAGCTTCCCTTCAGCACCAGGGACCCAGGCGGCTTACTTCCGGCCCCAGCTTCATCTGCAAGGACGCCTGGAAGGACATCCAGTCTAATTAGCATATTACCCTTTTATTATTATAGATTGTTTATAAGAGGGACATAGGGGTTTTATTTTATTTTCTTTGAACAGGGTTTCTTGTATAAGGAGTTTAGTATTAGGGGATGCTTACTTGATAAAATGAGTTCAGAAGTGGAAATAGTTTCTCCTATTCTCTTTTTTTAAATGTTTAAAAAAATGTAAGATTTGTATCATTTACTCCTTAAATATATTTAAAATAATTTTCCAGTGAAGATAGCTGGCTCTGGAATTTTCATTGTAAGTTGTTTTAAAATTATGAATTCAACTTCTTTTGTCTTTTAACTATGAATTAAACTTCTTTACTAGTTTAAGGCCATTTGGATTTTCTATTTCTTCTTGTGCCAGTTGTGGTAATTTGAAATTTTGAAAGTTAAAATTACTATAATTGACACAAAACAGTAGTGTAAATTTTTTGAATAAAGTGCTGTATTAAACAAAAGTCAGTTTTAAAATTTAAGTGTAAAATATAGAATGGAAATTTAAACACAGGTTATCTTTTACCTCAGATGAATTCTTATAAGCAAGACATTGTTAATGTAAGAATTATGTACTTCTGTGTCATGATTCACCTCAATAATATCATCAAGAGTAAATCTAAGGCACATTTTTTTCTGCTCTGTGTTCCTGGTTCTGTAAACATTTCATGTGAAGGCAAGTGTAAAGTATTTCTTCTATCTGAATAACACTTTCTGCCAAACTTTCAATTTTACCCATGGAATTTGTATTCATTCTCATTCTCTCTCTTTCTCCCCATATGGTAGGGGATGTTGTAATTTTCATTTCTCTGGGTAAAATATTTCTGTGGGTTTTATAAAATGATCCAATGTATTTCTTATGGATTCATTAAGTGGAAAGATAGAATTTAAAATGCTCTTACATCAAAAGATCAGAATAAAATTTTCAAATATTCTTCATATTTCTGATGTATGAAATGGACTTCCAGAAGCCATGTTGCTTCAAAATAATCTTTCATTTGAGTTTGTATTTATTTGGTTGCTTAACATTTGTAAATTATTAAGCTGTTATTACACAGACCTACTTTAGTTTGGATTAGTATGGAACATATCCCAGTATGCTCAATCAAGGTATCCTGCATAGTGCAATCTGTAAAGGTGTGTGTGTGTGTGTGTGTGTGTGTGTGTGTGTGTGTGCGTGTGTGTGTGTGTGAAATACATAGCATTTTTGGTAGAACCAATTATCTAATGCTCTTTTTAGAAAACTAGTTAAGAAAGGCTTCCCATTCTATTTGGAGTTATCTACATAGTTCCAGGCAAGCAAAATAATACTATCTTAAAAAAGAGAGTATTTAAACATACATAACTGTATTGCTTCTTAGTAACTATTTGGCTCATTTTTGTACATGTCTGTAATGTTTGTTATGAAATATGTTAAAAGGTCTGAGAAAAATATTCTATTATATTTTTTTATTATTCATGTAAGCAATTTCTTTTTCTTTGTAAACTTTGTAGTAGGAGTAATTTATATAATAATTGACATTGGGTGTGGTACTTTAATTAAATATTTTGACTTTTTTATAGTTAATTTTGCTTTCAAATGAGAAGGTAGATTAACCACACTTACAACCAGTTTTGAAATATAAATCTAAAAATGTTGCAGTGCACAAGAAAATAAGATATAGGAAAATATTTGGAATTAAACTGTATATTCCAAATTAGACTAAACATCACAAACATAAGTGAATAAATAATAGTTTAAAAACATTAAATTAGCTGCTTCCACTTACCCACTAACTGTAACCTTTTAAATAAATTTAAAGTGATATTAAGTGAATTGTTCAATTTAACTGTAATTAATAGTAACTATATTTTGTTTGCTTTTGTTGATCCTGTAGCAATTCTACACATAGTCAAAATTTGGAACTTTCCCAAATTTGGCAATTACTTCTTACTGGCCCATTTTTATAACACTTAAAATGTGAAGCAATAAAAATAAGAATTTTCTAGAAAATATAAAGAGGTACAATGAAGTGAACAGTCTCCTTTGCTCTTCTTTTAATCAATATCATCATGCGCCTTTCTGCCCTTTGTTTTTAACTCCACTTTGGAATTATTGTATTAATTGTAAATTTTATTGTTTTCCTGTATGGTTTTAAAGGAAATTTATAGACTTACCCTAATGATGCTTTAATATTTTTGTAGAAAAGGGATTAATTTAGATTATGAATAATATTTTGCTTATAATTAGTGTATAAATACAAATTTAATGTCTACTTAATTGATATAAAATACTCAGTGTTTCATAACCACCTCCTTTACTACAGAAGGTCCTCCAATAATATTATTTTTTACAATGTTGTTTCCTCATAACATTGATGAGATGCTATAGGAACTTAACTCTTGTTTATTTCAATTAGCCTATGGTAAGTTTGGTTGTTCTGTTGTTTCACTTAAAGTTGTAGAACCTATCGATGACGTTAAGTGAGGACTTACTGCACATGGTGTGGTTTCAGACATGCTCATCACATCTTTGTCAGTTAAGAGGCAACTAATGAGGAAGCACAGCACCTGTCCCCATCTGGGTCTAGGCAGCAGAAAATAAATGTCACTGTGCATGGAAGTCATGGCGCTGGGACATTGCCCTTAGATGTAATCTTTTGATATGTCCATGTATAACCCATGAGGACTTCTGAGAGACCTTATTTATGACATAAAGAGATTGTGATACATTGAGTAGAACATAGCCTTATTAAGAAATTGAAGATACATTCCACAAATCCTCTGTTTTGATAAAGGCTTATGCGATGCATTGTTCATCTTGTTTAACATCTTAGAAGTGGGAATTCTGTGGTATTGATTATAAAACAATATGTAGATACTAGAGACGCAGTGCACGAAATGCATGCAAGGGACTTGGCCCTCAAAGCCGCTATGGCTTGCCTTGGCCTTCACAGCCCTGGCTTTGTCTGGAAGGTCATCCAGAAGGATGTCTGGAAGGTTGTTCGGCTGTCCTGTCTAATTAGCATATTATGCTTTTATTATTATAGGTCATGCCTGCCTAACTACTTTTGTGAATCTAATTAATTTTATGATCTGAGGGAATGAATTAAGCTTTAACAATCTTAAACATTTCTTGCAAATATCTCTGTCATAGTTTTCCCCAGACGTATTAATTCATTGGAGTTTCCTCACTTAGAAAAAGAAGCAGTTTTTAACAGTTTATCTGCAACATTTTCTATGTTAAGGAATATATTATCTTTTCTCCCTCTTTTTCTTATTTTCACTTTAGCTTTTGTCAAATTTTATGGCTGCAGTTATAATTTTCACCCTAACTGTCTGAATGTTTCAGTTGTACATTTTCTCCTTTCTGCCAAACAAAGCTTCTTCTTTTACTCATTGTTTCTCATGTAATGTACCTAGGATTTATTCATCGTTATGTGATATGTTTGAGTAATTGTTGACTGAATTTGTATTTGTGAAAATGAGGGCCTAGAGCAGTGATGGCGAACCTATGACACGCGTGTCAGAGGTGACACGCGAACTCATTTTTTTGGTTGATTTTTCTTTGTTAAATGGCATTTAAATATATAAAATAAATATCAAAAGTATACGTCTTTGTTTTACTATGGTTGCAAATATCAAAAAATTTCTATATGTGACACAGCACCAGAGTTAAGTTAGGGTTTTTCAAAATGCTGACACGCCGAGCTCAAAAGGTTCGCCGTCACTGGCCTAGAGTTTGGTAATCAGGTTTTGTGAGGCAGAGTATTGTTTCTGAAATACAAAAGAAAATGAAAGTGCATCCAAAGGAAATTGGCTGAGGCAGCAAGATGAACTCACCACAAAGCAGCAGAGGTACTGGGGATACTTGAAGAGAAGGCTTATGGGGCTGTAGGCACCTATCTCAGCTCTGTGTCTGCTGGTGTCTCTGTTATTATGTATTATTTCTATTATCATCACTGTCCTCATTATTACATTCATTTTAAATGTCACCAAGAGGAGAGCAGATATATAGATTTATTTTAAGTGGTCATACGTCTTGTAATTTATCAGTGGATATGTTTCTAAATGACTGTTGCAAAAAAAGCTCTCCTTGTGGAAACTATATCAGAGTTGTCACATATGAATAAACCCATCCCCAGATTTGATTTAGTAAATATGTATGCGGAAAATTATATTTAATAGCATAAAATAAACTGGAGGTTAGTCTACTACTAATAAACTAGAGAAAATACACAGCTTGATCTTTTTTGTGCCTTTTATTATTTATCTTCCCACAGGAATATATTTTAATATTGCCTTTAATAATGTATGATTTTTGAGAAACCAGATACCTTCTAAACCCTTTGAGACACTGAAGTTTATGTACATAAATATTAATTGTATAGCTCCTTATAATATTTTTCTAATCAATCAACTCCTCTTTTAGAACATTTTAGTAACATATTTTAAATGAAACTGCAGGGTTAGTCATATAAAATGTGATGGATACATGGTTAAAGGAAACTCAGAATCTTAGGATTCGAATGGCAAGAAAAAGGTTGCCCAGAGGCACCTTAATTTCATAGACTTTGACTGGTACAAGGATCTTTTACACAAGAAATTTATAAGGATAAATATGAAGATGACCTTTCTTTCCCTTAAAAGATATTTTAGTTTGATGAAGATAAATTATTTCCAAATGGCATAGAAATTTTATATTGTTCTCTCTTCTTCAAATAGGTTATGTGGGTATGCAATTTATGTCGAAAGCAACAAGAAATCTTAACCAAATCTGGGGCCTGGTTCTTTGGAAGTGGCCCTCAGCAGCCCAGTCAGGATGGAACCCTAAGTGATACAGCTACAGGTGCTGGTTCCGAGGTTCCCAGAGAAAAGAAAGCCCGGCTCCAGGAGCGATCACGGTCTCAGACTCCCCTAAGCACCGCAGCTGCCTCCTCCCAGGACACCGCTCCTCCCAGTGCACAACCAGACAGGAGCAAGGGGGCTGAGCCCTCCCAGCAAGCCATGGGGCCAGAACAGAAGCAGGCTGCATCCAGGTCTAGAAGTGAACCTCCAAGAGAGAGGTAATAGTTCATTAACCCTGTAGGCAGAAGGCAAGGTCTTGTATTGACAAAAAACCCATTTTCAAGAATGTAACGGTTCTTAAGAAAAGATGTTTGGAAGCTGTGCTTCTTGGGCCCCACGTGGAAGGTAACAACAGGCCTGAAGTGCTTTGTTTATCTGTAGAATGTATCATGCCTTCGGAGACCTTTGTTGAGAAGCTTTGTGGTCATATTGTGCACAGATATAATCCAGTCACCAAGTTGGGTACTGACTTCCAACCTTGAATTCAGCAAAGCTTTTACATCATTTCTTCACTTATCACATTAGTCCTTGACTGAATGTGAGCTCTGAGAGAATATGATGGGGTCACCTGACCCAGGGCAGGGTGGGTGGGTACCTTAGCTGGCCTTCTTTGAAAACATTTCTTTTATGCTGAGCTCTGAAAACTGACTAGGAATTAACCAGGTGAAGAGTGGGATTGGTGTTCCAGGTATATGCAAGGGCATGTGGCCTAAAGGAACAAGACAATAGAGGGGCAAATGCGCTTTTGATTTTTCAAATCACTCACTGATTTTATAAATACTTAAGAAAACAGCAAGGACATTGAGAGTGTAGAAGAAAAAGAGAGACAGGTAACAACTTTAGGGAGAGAAGCAAGACTGAAAGAATGGCAGTGTTCTAAATGATTGAAGAATCCTTGATCATATCTTATGCACTCATCAGGAGCTAGTGGAAATGGAACAATTAAAGGTAGAGGTGAGAAAGACAATCCGTAAGCAAAGAATCAGAGAGACTGGAGAACTCCTTCCATTTTCATAATACTCTATCCATTCATAGACCATTTTCACAGATGGTATCTCCTTTAAGCCTCATATGAACCCTGCAAGGTAAGCATTCTTTATCAGTATTTCAGGAAAAGTAAATTAACACAATATAAACTTCTAACCAGATCAACTATGCCTTAATGAGCTACTAAATGTTTGCAATGCAATCATAATGCTCATATGAAAACTATATTTTATAATGATTAATATGTATTCTATTAGTCCCCTTTCAACGTCACCCTTGTGGACCAATGTAATCTGAAACAGAATTTTGCCTTCCTATGCCATATAAAACCCTTTACCCTTTCTTTTCACCATCACCAGCCCTTCCTCAAATTAACCCATATCTTAGCAATTACTATTTTGGTAACCCACAATAGAAATCACCCTACTTTTTTTTCATCTTGTTTTTTTTTTTTTCTTGATTTTTGTTTATTACTTCTGCTTTTGGGCTTCTAGTCAAAGGATGTTCCCTCTGAAAAGTCCTCTCTATGGACCTCAGGATTCCAAAATCAGTCTTAGTTTGTCTCCATTTTAATTGCATAGTAGATCATATGGTGTCAGAATGCTTTGCCAAGGCACCTCCTTTTTGTAACTTCTGGAATAGTTGCTGGAACTTTCCAAAATCAGGTGTACACCAGTGTGCAGAGAAGGGCTGAATGGAGCAATTGAATGATACATCTACAACATTCAAGATTGGCAAACCCTTTTCCTTTCCTTTTATCTTGCCAGTGCCTTCAACAGGATAGAAAAGTAGAAGAAAAACTGTTTTATTCTTTTGCAGTGTTCTGAAATTAGGGAAAGGGAAAGAAAAAATGAATATTAATTTCAAATTTTCCAATATTTCTATTATTTTTGCCCACAGAAAGTAAAATAAAGATTAAGGGTCAGCCATTCTTTTCCTAACCAACTTTTTAAAAAGGTGTTTGGGTACACATATCTCATTAAAATTACTTTTGTTCTACTATTGAATAAATGCTATTAGATTTGATTTCTGAAATGGACATACTTGTATGTCCATTCTTTAAATGTTTCAATTACAGTAAGAGATTGTCACTATCTATTGTCCAAATATATATCACGTATATAGTTTTGAATTGGTTTATATTCTTTTGCTCCAATATTATTAGCTGTATTAGTTTCACCTAAAATATTTTTAGTCTTTGATTCACAAGCAGTGGTTGGCATACAACTTATTCATTTATTGAATTAAGTTATTGATGGCATTTATTGATCTAGTTAATTTATAGAGAATTTGAAATGTGCAAATAATTTCTGAAGTCCCTGAGCATATTGTGATGCAAATGGGACTTATTTACTAGTAGAAAGCTAGTCAGATATACAGGTTTAAGATGGTTCCTTATCATGTCGCTTTTAATTAGACATCGAATTATAAGTAATTATTTGAAAGGCTTTAAATCTGGAATACGAAGGTCTGGTCTTCACTTTAGGTTTTACACCCTGCTCTCCTTCTTGACGTTCCTTTGTATATCACAGGAAGAAGACGCCTGGGCTCCCTGAACAGAATGGCAAAGGAGCCCCAAAGAGCGAGCGGAAACGCGTGCCAAAGACCTCAGTGCCACCGGGCGAGGGGGCCTTGGAAGACCGGGAGCGGAAAGAAAGGCGGGAAAGCCGGAGGCTGGAGAAAGGCCGGTCCCAGGACTTCTCCGACCTGCCGGGAAAGCGAGAGGAGGGCAAAGCGGCGGTCGATGAGAAGCAGAGGAGCGAGGAGTACCAGACCCGGTACCGCAGCGACCCGAACCTGGCGCGGTACCCCGTGAAAGCGCCGCTGGAGGAGCAGCAGATGCGCATGCACGCCCGGGTGTCCCGCGCCAGGCACGAGCGGCGCCACAGCGACGTGGCGCTCCCGCACACCGAGGCGGGCGCCGCGCCCCCCGAGAGCAAGGCGGCCAAGCGCGCCCCCGCCGGCCCCAGGGCCGGGCCGCCCGACGCGCCGCGGACCTACCCGGCCGAGAGGACTGCGGACGCCCGGGCGCCCGGCGCCAAGCCGCTAACGAACCCCAGCCCGCCGGCGCCCAGGCATGGGCCGGCCCCCGCACCAGCCCTGGAGCCCAAAGCCCAGGAGCCCCTCAGGAAGCAGAGCCGCCTGGACCCCAGCTCGGCCGTGCTTATCCGCAAGGCCAAGCGCGAGAAGGTGGAGACGATGCTGCGGAACGACTCGCTGAGCTCCGACCAGTCCGAGTCGGTGCGGCCGTCCCCGCCCAAGCCGCACCGGCCCAAGAGGGGCGGCAAGAAGCGGCAGATGTCGGTGAGCAGCTCGGAGGAGGAGGGCGTGTCCACGCCGGAGTACACCAGCTGCGAGGACGTGGAGCTGGAGAGCGAGAGCGTCAGCGAGAAAGGTCAGGGGCGGGGCGGCGCGCGGGACGTGATCCGAGGCGTGAGCGTGTGCGGGGCGAGGGTGGGGGGTGGAGCAGAGGTGCCTGTGGGCTGAGCTGGGGGTGTACCTCTGCCGGGTTTAGCAGTGTGGCTTCTCATGGACCCTGTGATGACTGTAGTCATCACTGCTGTCTGGTATGATGGAAAGTTGCTGAAAGTTGAGATCACAAGGGAAAAACATTTGTTTGTAATTAGATGAGATGGCTGTTAACTAACTTACGGTAATAACCATTTCTCAGTATAGGTATGTCAGCCCCTTATGCGGTATGCCTTAAACTTATACAGAGCTATAGGTCAATTATATCTCAATGGAAGTGGAGAAAAATATCTCAAAGTGGAAGGGGAAAAGGTATGGCTTGGGAAGCTCACAGTTTCTATTTCAGTGAATAGAAAGTTTTAGTTTTTTGTTGTTGTTTGTTTTTGATGAGATTTTAAAACAACCAGAAGCTCCAAATTTGGGTTATAAGAGCTCTTAATGATTTTGGTGCCTGTCATTCTGTGAACTTCAGTAATGTCTTGTGTTTTTAGGTTATTATTTTGGGGTAGATTTATTTGGGAAAAATTGCTTCTTTTCTAGAAAACCAAAACTGTGCCTGATAAATGGAAGGGTACCTTTAAAAAGAAAGACTTCAGTGGGGTAGTATTTTTCAAGTTTCAAAAGAAATTTCTTCACAAAGGTTGTATCATGGAAATGTTATATATTGTGCTTCGGATTTACAGTAACTTTGGAATACGAAGTTCGTGTTACCTATTACATTGCAGAAGATTTTGGAACATTGAGTGATAGGCTGCCTTTTTTCTGTCTAAACCAGCGGTTCTCAACCTGTGGGTCGCGACCCTTTGGGGGTCGCATAAGACCATCGGAAAACACATATATAATTACATATTGTTTTTGTGATTAATCACTATGCTTTAATTATGTTCAATTTGTAACAATGAAATTGGGGGTCACCACAACATGAGGAACTGTATTAAAGGGTCATGGCATTAGGAAGGTTGAGAGCCACTGGCTAAACCTTCACTCTACAATACCATAGCTGCATGTAGCTATTTTAATTAAAATTAAATAGACATAAAAATAATTAACTTACCCACTTGCACTAGCCACATTGCAAGTGTTCAAGAACGGTCATCAGAGAAAGTTTCTTTATTTTTAAAATATTTAATGTTGTATTACAGATGTCCCTCTTTTTCACCCCTATTAATCCCCTCCACTCCTCAGCTCCCGCCCCACCTCCATCTTCATGGCACTATTGTCCGTGCCCTTGGGTTATGCAAATATGCATATAAGTTATTTTGTTAAACTCTTCCCACCCTCACTCCTACTTAGATAACACTGGTTTAGAAAATACGTCAATTGATCATTAAAAATGTGTGCTTGTTTTGAATATTCACTCCCATTTAAACTGGCCACAGTCCTGAATTTAATAATGGGGGTCATCATTCTCATTGTAGTGTTGGGGGTCCTTGTATGTGTTTTATTTAATTTATATTTTGGGATGACTATTTACATAGTTTTTGACTTGCTTTATAATTGCTATATTATGTACTAAATATTATAATTTGATAAAAGTATCACTTTTCTTCCTCAACTTCTCTATCTCTAAACTACATGGAAGTGTTCTCTCTCTCTCTCTCTCTCTCTCTCTCTCTCTCTCTCTATATATATATATATATATATATGTATATATATGTGTGTGTGTGTGTGTGTGTGTGTGTATATATATATATATATACATTTTAACAGCTGATAGCTCAATTTTGAAAATGAATTGTATTTTACTTACTAAACACTGCCTTTATAATTATTCAAAGTATGTGTATACATTTTTGGGGATACCCAATATATACTGTATATATACATATATAGTGTGTGCATATGTATGTATAAACACATACATAGATATAATTAAATATGTACAAAATAGAGGTTAGGTAACTTGTGCAGGTTAACAGGGTGCTGAAGATTATTATGGCTGGTTCACAAGATAGTGTTAAGTAAACAATGCTGGGATTTAGTATTAAAGGCATTAATATGCTACATTGATTAAAAAAGTCATCCTTCTGAATGGTAAGTCATTTGAATGGTAAGTCATTATGCCTATGTTTAAGCATATTGTCTGTGGACTTTTGAAAAGTCAGATGCGAGTAGACCCTTGCTGCCTTTTGTGCCTTAATATTCTTGTAATCACATATTTTTCCCCCTGAAGTGATTAAAGTAAGTGTTAAGTAATGGATGTCTCAATTGGTGAGCAGGATATAAATATATGTGTGTATAATACTTTCCCATTTCTTAAAGACAGGACTGTATACTAGCTCTTACCAAACATGTGTAATGAATCACGACGACTATGGAATGAGACAGTGTTGAATCTCAATATTATTTCCAATAACAACATATTATGGGAGAAAACATGACTGGTGGCATGGGTAATTGGAGGGATGGAGCTGGTATAATGTGAGGAACTTACTGCCTCTACACTCTCCTCCTTGGGTATAATCATTCTGGGAACTTGGATGACCACTCGGGATATATACACCTCTGAAGTTGGGCTTAAATCTCTTCATTGGAGAATGCAGGGACATTACATGTACCATTATCTGATATAGATGCCTCCTTTTCTCTTAACTTATAATTAATATTCTTAATTAATGTATTGAGTTTTCTCCAAAGTAGATGTCCTATTCTAGCATTTTAACCGATTCCAAACCAACATTTACAAAATGAAACATTAGCTAAAAGGAATGTATTTTTATCAATATGTAATATCTATTAATGACTTTATTACCAAATTCCACCATTATAATAATATCTAGCACCCTTGACTCTGCATAAGTTACTTAACCTCCATAAATCTGATAAAATTGTGAGTGGTTTAAATTAGATGATGCATATAAAATAGGATGCAATAGTATTCTTCCTGTATTGATTTTGCCTGTGGCTCCTATACCATAGACATCTAATACCACAATGAGTCTGAGATAATCACCAATACATATACTATACAAAGAAAACATTAAAAATGTTTTTGTATTTTGTAGGCTCCAATGTGATGAGAAGGGGAAGAATGATTTGGGAAGAGATTTCTTAGGAAAAGAGTAGATGCTATCTTGTGAGTTTCAGGGTCATGGGAAGAGTATTACCATGGAATAAAACTTAAAGAGCAGTTGGAGAGAGAAATTAAAGTAACATTTTTATTATATCCCATGCATTTTCTTGTACACTTCATCAGTCACACATATAAATTAAACATTTAACACAATGTCTCCCTCTCTTAGTATGTTCAGATTGCTATAACAAAATGCCATAGACTGGGTAGCTTATAAACAACAGAAATTTACTTTTCACCATTCTGCAGGCTGGTAATTCCAAGATCAGTGTGCCAGTATGGTCAGGTTCTGTTGAAGGACCTCTTCTTGGTTCATAATTGGAACCTCCATGATATGTCCTCACATGGTGGAAGGGGCTGGGAAGCTCTGTGAGGTCTCTTTTCTAAGAGTGTTAATCTCATTTATGAAGGCTCCACCCTCAAATCCAAGGCCCCCACCTTTAATATCATCATCTTTAGGGGTTAGGATTTCAACCTATGGATTTGGGGGGGAGGAAGACAAACATTCAGATTATAGCACTGTTATAAGTTAACTACTTAATATATATATATTATTCTTGTAATTTATATTATCATGCTGAGGTGGTTTGTAAATTTATTAGCAAATATGTATTTAGCACTTTTGGTAGATAAACTGAGGTTTAAAAAAAGGATATGCACTATGCTGTCTAGAGTTTACATTGTGTTGAGAGAAATAAACAATAAAGAATAATTACATAATGAAATACATTTTAAGGGGGGATGGGGACATCTGTAATAGTGTTAAATAGACACTTCAAAGGGACATTTCTTCAGGATACATTGATATAATTTTGCTATATGTCCAATCATTAAATAAAAAGATATGCTGATCAAATGATAGCATATCTGAAAGATAGCCCAACCTTTATACTGAATATAATCTTTTACATATACTGTAATTCAACTCATACACACACACACACACACACATACAACACCCACACAGAGATTGTAAGTGAGATCTATCTAATGCAGTGGTTCTCAACCTTCCTAATGCCGTGACCCTTTAATACAGTTCCTCATGTTGTGGTGACTCCCAATTTCATTGTTACAAATTGAACATAATTAAAGCATAGTGATTAATCACAAAAACAATATGTAATTATATATGTGTTTCCCAAAGGGGTCGGGACCCACAGGTTGAGAACCGCTGATCTACTGGGTTTATACAAAAATTGAGGTCAACTGCCATATGTTTTCAACATGAATGCTATTCATATTACTTTTGCTAACTGGAAAAAAAATGAGCATCTCGTCTCATAGTTTATAAATAATAACTTAGATAAATTTTTGTATACAGAAGAAAAACAGTGAATTTAATCTTGCTTATGAGTTAGAAGTTGAATTTTTAAGATATTTTTTATTGACTTCAGAGAGGAAGGGAGAGGGAGAGATAGAAACATCAATGAAGAGAGACAATCATTGATCATCTGCCTCCTGCATGCCCCCTGCTGGGGATCAAGCCCACAACCGGGCATATGCCCTGTCTGGGAATCAACCCATGACCTCCTGGTTCATAGATTGATGCTCAACCTTGAACCACACCATTGGGGCAAGATAGAGGTTGAATTTTAAGTGAAATTTGTAATATAATTCATTTGGAGAAAGTCTAGTGAAGATTTGTGCCCCTAAGGAGTTGGGTAATTAGGCCTAAGAATAAAGAAGAGACAAGTTAGTGCCAATGTGGATGAGAGAAAGAAATTCTGCCAGTTATGAGAAGAAACATAGAAGCATTGCTGCTTGAGCAGATGAGTAAGTCCCTTAAAATTGCAAGGAACTTAAAGTATAAACCCTCAGACAAAACAAGTTGGAAGAAGAGTCTGGTGTTGGAT